TTATGCATAAAATTGAGATTGTCCGATGCTATTTCACATGAACTTTAACGTTTATTGACTTAACGGAAGTGCTTAATTTGAAGCTGAAAATCTCATTTTCAACCATAAATACCGCGTCGTTTGAACATGGCTTCGAGTAAGTACTTCTTGCGCAAATTGATGGACGATTCGCTGTTTTTTCCCTGAAATTGCGCGCTTCAAGGGAAAATTAACAAGAAAGCGAAACTCCTGCAGACATAAAACACATGAGCCCCAAATAATCGATAAATTGCCGCGATTGGTAAAATGTTAATAACGTCTGTAGGACACAGCCGGACAAGAACGGTACAGGACAATAACTACAGCGTACTACCGAGGAGCGATGGGCTTTATCCTCATGTACGATATAACAAACGAAGAATCATTTAACAGCGTACAAGACTGGTAAGTGGAGGCGATTTTTCCAGTTTTGGGGAATTCTCCATCGAGTTTCTTGCCACTTACAGGGTGACCCAAATTAAAACGTATTCATGGGACAATGCGCAGGTGATTTTGGTGGGAAACAAGTGCGACATGGAGGACGACCGAGTGATCAGCTTTGAAAGAGGCAAGCAATTGGCCGAACAGCTTGGAGTGGAGTTTTTTGAGACTAGCGCGAAAGAGAACATCAATGTGAAGGTAACGTTGGTTCGACCTCAAAGTGTTTTATGAGTCACACGGGGGCAAACTTCCAGGCCGTTTTCGAGCGCCTGGTAGACATCATTTGCGACAAGATGTCCGATAGTCTGGACACCGACCCCACTCTAATGTCCGGGTCTGGTAAGGGACAGCGACTGACTGACGCTCCTCAGGGCCCTCAAACCGGCAACTGCAACTGTTAATACTGTTTTTTTGGAGTGTTGGAGTTTAGTGTTCTGCCGAGCGATTGCTGAACACTGCGAGCGTGTACAACTAGAATTGGGGGAAAGAGTAAAACCAGTTTTCTTTTCAGCTTTAGTGCAGTTTTAGCAATACTGTTGTTGGATCATTTGACCAAAACACCCAGTTCAATTCTGACCTATTGAGACTGACTCTAAGGCTCTTTGATCGTTAACGATTATCCAACGAAACCAGTTTGATCCCAAAAAGGTTTTTTCCCAGTTTGGACATGCACGCATTTATTTGTTACCCATAGGAGTTCAATAAAGTGACTAACTATAACAGAAATCGCGTCAATATTAATTAATGTACTTTCCTACCTAATAGCCTGTACATTTCGTAACACAAGCCAGAAAAGACGCCGTTTGAGAACTAGAATTTGTAACCGCAACCTCTAAACTAACAAAAGTAGCCCGTAGTGCGTTAGTCTAATTTTTGTATGCTTCAGCAGCTTTTTTCATGAACTGTTTAGCAGTTTATGAAAAATCGAAAGACCGACGTAGATCAATCATTGTTAAACTGTTTCTTGTTGGCTCACTTTGATTGATTCAGTTCGACATGTAAAATCAATTTTTCAATCTGTGTTATAACATATCTCTAGGCCTAGCCGGCAACCATGCATTGTTTGAAAACTATTGGATATCTATATAAGCTTAGTGTATCTATATGTAAATGTTTGTTTAGGGTTTGTTTAGGGCAAAGTGCGGGCAGTGCAAATGTTCGCACTTTGCGCTCCGCTCTGCAAGTTATGTGCATTTTGTGTAATTATTTAGACGAGTCAAATAAATGTGAAATGTAAATAGGATTTATAGATAGGAATGTTAAATAGTATTAGGGATAAACCTGATTCAATAACTTCTTTTATTAAGTAGCTGCGAACAGACCGAGACTTTTTCAACTGCAATTCGAGCTTTATTCCAAGTAACTTAGTGCTTGCGCGATGTTGCTGACTGTCGTGAACAATCGCTGTTACTTTTCCTAATCTTCCACCTCCCGTTGGTCTAAATGGCAATTTTCCTCAGGTCAAAAAAACGAAAACAAACAACAAGCCGTTGCTGGAAACAGGTGATTTGAACACTTTCCTGAGACCCAGGAAAAACTCTCTAGTTTCTTGCAACTTTGGTGAGAAACTGGCTTCTTGCCGTTTTGCTTGCATAAAACCACATCATCGCACAWCTCGCCTACGATTAAGCCTCTTATGGCCATAACTGTTAACWGTTACTCAGACAGTCAGCCCCGGCTTACTAAAGAAACCTTCTGTAGCTTAAGGASTTAGTGACGTMCGGCTGTATATTGAAGATATTGCATGTAACTGATTCATAATCGATGTGTGACTGACTGGCGTCTCGACACAAACAACCTTGTGGGAAAATCAATTGTATATTACTTTATGACTTAGTGGAAAATAAACTCATTTCTTGCAAACCTCGAACTTTTGGAAATCTCTGAAAGTTTCTGGAAACTTAGCGCTTGCGCGATGTTGCTCACTGTCGTGAACAATCGCTGTTACTTTTCCTAATCTTCCACCTCCCGTTGGTCTAAATGGCAATTTTCCTCAGGTCAAAAAAGCGAAAACAAACAACAATCCATTGCTAAAAACAGGTGATTTGAACACTTTCCTGAGACACACGAAAAACTCTCTAGTTTCTTGCAACATTGGTGAGAAACCGGCTTCTTGCCGTTTTGCTTGCATAAAACCACATCATCGCACATCTCAGCTACGATTAAGCCTCTTATGGCCATAACTGTTAACTGTTACTAAGACAGTCAGCCCCGGTGGTTACTAAAGAAACCTTCTGTAGCTTAAGGACTTAGTGACGTACAGCTGTATATTGAAGATATTCATGTAACTGATTCATAATCGATGTGTAACTGACTGGCGTCTCGACACAAACAACCTTGTGGGMAAATCAATTGTATATTACTTTACGACTTAGTGGAAAATAAACTCATTTCTTGCACACCTCGAACTCTTGGAAATCCCCGTTCTGAATTTCCGTCATCCCGTCCTTTGGACAGAGAGAAACCTGCTGACTGAAAAAACCGGTTATCTAATAAAACACACTCTAAAATACACTTACGAATATTTCGTGTTGCTGTTGATGCTCTGTATGGTGACTCTCTCCACATCAATGGCCTGCTTGCAGTGGACGAAGCAGAAGGCGTTTGGCTTCTCCTTCCAGCCAATTTTCGCGTTGATGATCCTGGCCATTTCCGGCACCCCCGAATAGAAAACAAAACTGTTGCTTTCCCCAGCAAGGAATTCCCTAGAATATCCCCCCTCAAAAGAACCACCTGGATGGGCTTAATCTGCTCACCTGGGCTCCATCATGGAGGACGTGGTGATAAAATGGAACTTATCGATTAGGAAGAATTCAAAAGAGCCAAAGAAGGTGGACTTGGTCCCTTTGATCGACACATTCACCCTGTACTGAAACACTTAAAAAAAGTTGGAGCTATAGCTAGGGAGTAGGAGGCTTACAGCAGTAGGGCTTCGTCGAGTCGGTCTGGAGGAAATAGGAGCCATTGTTAGGCTCTGAGTAGGAGACCAATCCAAAGGTCCTGCAGTTGTGGCCACACGTTGTGCATTTGCCCTAAAGAAATTGTTTCCTATGCTTGATTGGTGCTCGATTGCAATCGGACCTGCCTGAAATCCGCATAGCTTTGGCACTTGATGCCCAAAAAAGTGCATTCCTCAATCTCCAGCGACTCAATATAGTACTTATAGGCCCTTTTATGACTGCAGCCTGGCATGACCTCGCCCTGGTTCAACATGGCTCTTGTGAGGGCTAGCAAGTCGTAACTCGTTTGGTCCACTGGACATCCTGGCTGAGCCTCCGCGTTGTTGATGAAGAAGTCTGTGTGTCCCAAGATGTCTTTAGCCCCTTGGCTGGTATCTGGAACAGCTGAATCGACTAAAACAATCAGAGAAAAGGTCTTTTTCTAACAATCCATCGCATCTGTGTGTAAAACTTCGACATATTCGGCGTCTGTGTGGTCTAGTCGTACTGGGCTGGGCATACCATCGAATCGACGACCACTTGGATCTAATCCTACAAATATGTTTTAAATTATCAACAACCGGACATACATATATACGGAGTGGCCCAAACTACTGCCTTTTTGGACAAAGGAAACAATGCAAAAATCCCCGAAAATATCGAGAAAAAACCGTTTCAATAACTTTGCTTTTGGGAACTTCTGTTCAGTTGGAGTCAGTATAAAAAATTGAGAAACCCCCTAATAAACTCGAGCGGCTAGTTTATTTTAGGATAATACCAATTCATACAGGGTGTCTCAAATTCAAGTGAATGGTCAAAATATTGTTCATTCAAAAAGCAAAATGGAAATTTCGCTCCCATTAGAGTGGATGGAAAGGGAAACATTGAATGCTTCTAGCTAACAAACGAAAAGTCCTATTGGTGGTGCATTGGTGCATTATCGATATACTATCGATATTGACACCCTAGAAGTTTGAATTTTCCCAAAACTGTGGTAGTTCACTCTTGGTGGGACGAAATGACGTCATCGGGTGTAGACTTGAGGAGGGTTCAAAAAATTCAGGTTTAATGGATTGCTTTGGATCTTTAAAAACCTCCAATGTCAAAATTTGACCGAAGTTTGACATCACAAAACTGGGGAAAATTTGGAAAATTTTCCCCCAAAATTTTGCATTATTTTAGAAAATCATCAATTGCTCGCTTATTATCGATCGTACCGAAAAAGCGAATGGCAACTTTTCTATGGAGCTTCAGACGGCCGATCGACTGGACTGATTAGATTGAGCTCAGCTCTTTTGGTTACCGAGATACTTGCAGTTTTCTGGGAACCATATTTTCGCGATTTTCCCGAAAACTATGAAAGCTGGAAAGTTAGTAAAAATACCGTTGGATATTCCTCAGTGAGCCCAAAATTTTATAAAGAATAACTTTTTCCGATAGGAAGCTTTGTGTTTGAGAAAAAAAATAAAATTGAAAATGTCGAAAAATCGCAAGGGGTTTCAGCCAGCGAAATTTCTGGCGAAAAAATTTTCATTTTTTTTTCGGACTATTCCTTGACAGGTGGTTAGATATGGAAAAGTTACATGACAAATCAACGTCGGTTGGCTCAATTTTTTTCTCTGTGAGCTACAGGGG